CTTAGTCTGTCTTTGAGCCTTGACAAGTTAGCATCTTATGCTTAACCTCAACAGCAAGGTAGGAACTCATAACTTAAAATTCTAGATCTTTTGAATTACTGGCATTATTCTTTTTATTTTTGACATTATTCTTTTCATTATTGGATCTTTTTCCATGAAAGTTGTATTATTTTGGCTCTGAAAAATGTATATAATTTAGACATTTGATTTAATTACAATAAAAGATTGTTAACATTTTCTTATTTATAATAGTTTTGGATCATGCTTACTATTGAACTTAATTGTCTTATTTATGGTAATACTTTTGATGTTGTTAATTTTTTTTTAGTTGAAGTAGATGCCGAAGCAAGTGTTAGCAGGCTTCAAGAGATTATTAAAGGAAAAAAACAAGACATTGTCCGTTTTAATAATATAAAGTTTAAATTATGGAATGTTAATAGATCAAATGAGAAATTGAATATTCTCTTTGACAACCTGAATGCAAACATTAAGAAAAAACTTGGAGGCAAGATTTTAACTGAAATGGATAATATTTCCAAATATTTTCTTCACGAATTGAACAAAAAATATATATATATTATCATTGAATTGTCAGGTTATCACCTCACTTTTAAAAATTGTACAAAAAGGAAAAAACTTGTTCCTATAGATAAGATTATTTTCAAAGGAGATTCCTTCGAGCTAGAAAGTGAAATTATCTGCACTGATTTGGTAATTAAAATCAAATTTATCAATAAATCAGAAGAACGTTTGCTAGATTCATTTTCTAAATTCATTGAAACAGTGAAAGAAGTTCATGAATTAGATTCTGAAAAAGAGATCAATGTTATAGGCTAATACACAATGCAAAATTTAATAGTAAGCGAATACCTTTCAGTTTAGTACTGTAATGTATTCTGATAAATTAATTTTTTCTAGCTTCACTTGCATGTTCAGATGAATGATTATCTTAGATTGATTTTCATAAACGGGTACTTAGACAACAAAAACACAATAAAGGTTTAGAAGGTGTATAAACATTCTCTTCTTCACAAATATAGTTAAAATCAAAATTGAAGTTCAGAAAAAAATCTTTTCTTTCTTTCTTTCAGGGTTAGATATTTGACTTTTCCATTATTTATTAGGACTGTTTTTGTGTCCTAAACATAGAAAAATATTTTCATTTAAGAATAAGAGTAATAATAACGGTAAAGATATTATTAAAAAAAATGATAGGCTCACCAAATTTCGATGAATCATGTTTACTTTGTTGTGTAAATAGTTTAAACCATCAGCTATATCTTTCGTGATTTGTGTTTTCTTAGTCCACTCCAAATTTTTATGCTTAGACAGAAATCATGAAGATTTCTATTGTCGGCATGTTCTAATGCTCCAGAATGACTGTTTCTGAGTCTTGAATAAAACAATCTTCTTCAAATCTAATAAGATATTTAAAATTTATAATTTAACTTAGGTGAATTTAATGTTGTTATATTGCAATTTCGTCGAGCTAAGACAACTCACTTAGTTCATCACAACTTACATGTTAAGGGTGCAAATGAGATAACTCGTATAGCTATCAAGAGAATCGTATATATAAACTCTAATTTTATATAAGAAAAAATAGAACTCATATATATAACATTCGTAATGGTCCTTGCACTGCTACTGCAGCCGCAGAGCCAGTCAATGGCGGTCCTTGCACGCACTACAGAAGGGTCCTTGCACTGCTATTGCAGCCGCAGAGCCCAGAACAACTAAGCGGTCCTTGCACTGCTATTGCAGCTGCGAAGCCGAAACTAACAATAGGTCCTTGCACTGCCACTGCAGCTGTGGAGCCTATAACTATCATTCTTAACCACTAGAAGATGATGACACACCACGCCTAACCATTGAATATACAGCATCAGGAGGGAGAGGAGGGGCGATAGAGCCAGCCTTCACAGGCGAGCAATAGTGAAAAGAAAAATAAATTCTCTCCATTACATTACAAACCTTAAATACTAACTACTAAAACAGAACATTCCATTTTCCCATATTACTAATTCTACATGACCATTATCTCTTCCCTCTTTCTTACTAATCACAAGAAATCACAATGACTTGAATTTCAAATAATCATATGAAACCGTCCAAATAACCAGGTATAACCTGCACATTCAAGATATCAAGGAAAACAATTACCACAACAAAGAAATACTACAAAAGGATAGACATTAAATGACGGACATAAAGTCATCTGATCTCGCAATAATGATCGCCCTGTCAATTCGTTGACGGGTTCCAAGTTGCCTCACAAAGTTTAACACAGTTACACAAAAAGCACAATAAAAAAGAGTACTACCTAAAGGAGTATAGTCGGAAAATCAAAAGTAGTTCATATGACAGGTTTTATAATCATACTTATTATTATGTGTATGATAGATAATCTAACGATCAAAATAATTTTATTGATTTCCTGAATTTGTATTAAAAGTCCGTATATCCTCTGGCAAAATAAAACTAACAATGTAATAATGAATAAGTTTGTAGCTTTCATTGTTACGAACGAAAAATCCTAAATCAAACTTTTATCTTATACGGCTCAAAAAACACA